AAACTTATTCTATGAGGTCAACATTACCTTGATTCCAAAACCAGAAAATCCCCACTAAAAAGGAGAATTACAGACCAATTTCCCTGATGAACATGGATGCAAAAACTCTCAGCAAGATACTAGCAAACCAAATCTAACAATACATTAAAAGAATTATTCACCATGATCAAGTGGGATTTATTCCTGGCTGCAGAGGTGGTTCAATATCCACAAATCAATCAACATGATACATCACATTAATAAAAGAAAGGGTAAGAACCACATGATCCTCTCAATAGATGAAGCCAAAATATAGCTTCTTTCTTGATAAAAACCCTTAAAGTAGGAATAGAGGGAACATACCTCAACATTATAAAGACAATATACAAAAGACTCACTGCTCGAGGCGCCTGGGTGGCTCAGTCGGTTAAGCATCCAACTTCAGCTCAGGTCATGGTCTCACGGTTGGTGGGTTCGAGCCCCATGTCAGGCTCTGTGCTGACAGCCAGCTCAGAGCTTGGAGGCTGCTTCAGATTCTGTGTCTCCCTCTCTCTCTGACCCTCCCCTCCCCTGCTCATACTGTCTCTCTCTCTCTCTCTCTCTCTCAGAAATAAATAAAACATTTAAAAAAAAAAAAAAAAAGACTCACTGCTAATCTAATCCTCAGTAGAGAAAATTTGAGAGCTTACCCTCTAAGGTCAGGAACACGACAGGAATGTCCACTCTCACCACTGTTGTTCAACATAGTACTGGAAGTCCTAGCCTCAGCAATCAGAAAACACAAAGAAATAAAATGCATCCAAATTGGTAAGGAAGAAGTCAAACTTAAACTCTTGCAGATGACATGATACTCTATGTGGAAAACCCAGAAGACTCCACCAAAAACTCCTAGAACTGATATATGAATTGAGCCAAGTCGCAGAATATAAAGTCAACATATGGAAATCAGTTGCATTTCTATATGCCAATAATGAAGCAGCAGAGAGAGAAATCAAGGAATCGATCCTATTTATAACTGCACCAAAAACGGTAAGATGCCAGGAGTGAACCTAACCAAAGAGGTAAAAGATCTGTATGCTAAAAAATATACAAAGTTTATGAAAAAAATTGAAGAAGGCACAAAGAAATGGAAAAACATTCCATGCTCATGGATTGGAAGAACAGTTATTGTTAAAATGTCTATACTACCCAAAGCAATCTACATATTCAATGCAATTCTTATCAAAATAATACCAGTTTTCTTCACAGAGCTAGAACAAACAATCCTAAAATTTGTATTGAACCAGAAAAGACCCCAAAAAGCCAAAATAATGTTGAAAAAGAAAACCAAAGCTGGAGGCATCACAATTCCGGACTTCAAGCTGTATTACAAAGCTGTTATCATCAAGACTGTATGGTACTGGCACAAAAACAGACATATAGGTCAGTAGAACAGTATAGAGAACCCAGAAATGGACCCACAAATGTATGGCAAACTAATCTTTGACAAAGCAGGAAAGGATATCCAATGGATGAAAAACAGTCTCTTTAGCAAATGGTATTGGGAAAACTGGAGTGACATGCAGAAGAATGAACCTGGACCACTTTCTTATACCATATACAAAACCAAACTTAAAATGGATGAAAGACCGAAATGAAACATGGGAAATGATGAAAACCCTAGAGGAGAACACAGACAACAACCTCTTCAGCGGTGGCCACAGGAACTTTTTATTAGACCTATCTCCGGAGTCAAGGGAAACAAAAGCAAAAATGAACTATTGGGATCTCATCAAAATAAAAAGCTTCTGCACAGTGAAGGAAGCTGTCAACATAACTAAAAGGCAATCAGCAGAATGGGAGAAGATATTTGCAAATGACATCTCAGATAAAGGGTAAGTATTCAAAATCTGTAAAGAACTTATCAAACTCCACATGCAAGAAGCAAATAATCCAGTGAACAAATGGGCAAAAGACATGAACAGACACTTTTCCAAAGAAGACATCCAGATGGCTAACAGACATATGAAAAGGTCCTCAAACATCACTCATCATCAGGTAAATGCATATCAAAACAACAATGAGATTAATACCTAACACCTATCAGAATGGCTAAAATTAACAACTCCAGAAACAACAAATGTTGGTGACAATGCAGAGAAAGGGGAACACTTTTGCACTATTGGTGGGAATGCAAACTGGTGCAGCCACTTTGGAAAACAGTATGGAGGTTCCTCAAAAAATTAAAGAGCTACCGTATGACTCAGTTGCACTACCTAGGTATTTATCCAAAGGATACAAAAATGCTGATTTGAAGGGGCACATGCACCCCAGTGTTTATAGCAGCATTATTAGCAGTAGCTTAAGTATGGAAAGAACCCAAATGTTCATTGACTTATGAATGAATAAAGAGTGGTATATTTATACAATGGAATATTACTCAGCAGTTAAAAAGAATGAAATCTTGCCATTTGCAACAACAGGGATGGAATTAGAATGTATTATGCTAAGCGAAGTAAGTCTGAGAAAGACAAATATATGATTTCACTCATATGTGGAATTTAAGAAACGAAACAAATGTAGGGGAAGGGAAGGGAAAATAAGACAGAGGGATGCAAACCATAAGAGACTTTATTTTTAAAAATTAAGTTTACTTATTTATTTTGAGAGAGGGGGAGGGAAAGGGGAGAGAGGGAGAACAAATGGGGGAGGGACAGATAGAGGAGAGAGAAAATCCCAAGCAAACTCTACACTGACAGAGAAGGCCTTGAACCCACGAACTGTGAGATCATGATCTGAGCTGAAACCAAGAGTCGGACACTGTACCCTAATAAGATACTCTGAAATACAGAAGATAAACTGAGGGTTGCTGGGGGGATGTTAGGTAGGGGGATAGGCTAAATGGGGGATGGACATTGAAGAAGGCACTTGTTGATATGAGCACTGGGTTTTGTATGTAAGCCAATTTGACATTAAATTATATAAGTCAATGTGTGTGTGTATGTGATGAATCACTAAATTCTGTTCCTGAAGCCATTATTACACTATATGTTAACTAACTTAGATTTAAGTAAAATGAAAAAAATAAATAGTTCAGAGTATCTTTATTGATTCTCTAGTGTACTCCATTATGATTAGACAATAGACTTAGTATGACATCATTTCTGTTACTTTTCTTCAGGTTTGTTTTACTTTGTTTCAGAACATGCTTTATCTTGCAAATATTCTATATTTATTTGAGGAATGTGCGTTCTTCTGTCTCTTATTTAAAGTTTTAATGAATACAGCTACATTATGGGGTGGAAAGAAAAGTCACTTAAATTCTTCAGATAAAAAGAGTTGTTTCTGACATATGACAGTTGACTCAGGCTATACCCACAGACCTCAGGAATGTCTTTTCACTCTCATACTATTAAGTGAAAAGGTAACAAGTACTTTCAGGTCTTTGGGAAGTGTGGTTCTCAAATTTTCTAGAATCGTGACACAGACCATTAATGCAGATTCTGGGGTACTACCTTTAGAAAATAATAGCTTGAATTTATTGGAAACACTTTTCGTAGATCTCATTTACCCTTGGCAAACATACCTTTAGGGGTGCCTGGGTGGCTCATTTGATTAAGCGTCCGACTTCGGCTCAGGTCATGATCTTGTAGTTCGTGGGTTCGAGCCCCGCGTCGGGCTCTGTGCTGACAGCTCAGAGCCTGGAGCCTGTTTCAGATTCTGTGTCTCCCTCTCTCTCTGACCCTGCCCTGCTTATTCTGTCTCTCTGTCAGAAATAAAACTTAAAAAATTAAAAATTAAAAAAAAATACCTTTAACGAAGGCACCATTTTATAGATGAGGAACTTGTGTGAAGTTACTCAGCCCAGTGACAAGTTCAGTTTTCACACCTTTTGTGTCTTACTCAGGAAGCCAAACTCTAAACCACAGCAGCATTGCCCAAGGGGCCTAAGGAAGCTATATGTTGTATTCTCTGTGTTTTGACTTGATTTGTTAATTGCTATGAAATAGAAATAAAGCCCTTGTCCTACTGACCACATTTTGGAGAAAATCCTGAAAAAGGTTGACATAATTTTGTTTTCTCCTTTGTGTTCTAAAAAGAACAGAAATTAACTTCATTAGTGATGGCTTTCATAATGAAAATGGCATTTCTGTGGGGCGCCTCAGTGGCGCAGTTAAGCATCTGACTTTGGCTTAGGTTATGATCTCACGGTTTGTGAGTTCGAGCCCCACGTTGGGCTCTGTGATGACAGCTCAGGGGCTAGAGCCTCCTTTGGATTCTGTGTCTCCCCCCTTCTCTGCCCCTCACATGCTCATGCTCTGTCTCTCCCTCTGTCTCTCAATAATAAATAAAAATGTTTAAAACAATTTTTTAAAAAAAAAAAGAAAATGACAATACTGCAAAGGGACACCTATGGACCTTTGCACTTCCCGTATCTAGTAAATTCTTTCTTTCAGGATCACTACGGGTCCTTTTTATTCTGCTTTCTGAGCAGATATAGAGTATCCTTTTCTTTTGTCTTGCTTATTCTACTTTACAATTACTATTTCAAGCAGCAAGTTTTAGAATATAATTCTTTCTCATTTAACTTTATACTGTGGAAAATTTTACGTGTCTACAAAATTGAAAAAAGGAATAATAAATCTCCATGTACTTGTCACTCAGCTTCATCAGTTATCAACTCACACCAATCTTACTTCTCTGCTTTTTTGTGTTACTTATATCATTTCATCTGTCAATATTGCAGAACATATATCTAAAAAGAACTTTTAAAACAGAAGCTTTCTGAACAGTGTAGTATATTGACTTTCCTTTAAGTGGTCTGTAAATGTCATCACTTATAATAGCTATTCTTCACCTGTCCTTGTATCATTCATTTTGTAGAGCTTCACAATTTTTCCACCAGGGGGCACTTGAAGGCTGGATGAATTCAGATATTCAAAAGGAGGGGTGGATATAGAGAGCCCTTGAGCTTCTATATAACCCAGAGTAATCTATCATCTCTCCCTACTCCTTTTTTTGAAACCTTTTTGTGCATCTAGATGCAAAGCAAAAGATGCGGCAGGCCTGGAAGTCCTGGCTGATCTACGTGGTTTCTCGTAGAACCAAACTTCAGATGCAGACCACCGCCCTGGAGTTCAGGCAGCGGAGTATTTTGTGGTGAGTGTGTTCAATTGACCTGCAAATCAGCAGCTATCATTTTAGTATATGTGCTGCCGAAGCGAGCACCAGCAGCTATCATTTTACCTCTCTCTTGTTTTACGCACCATAAATACCCACCTTAGGGATGCCTGGGTGGCTTAGTTGGTTAAGCATCAACTCTATTTTTTTCAGCTCAGGTCATCATCTGAGATTTGTGAGATCTGAGTTTGTGAGATCCAACCCCCTGTTGGGCTCTGCACTGACAGAGTCGCTCCTGGTTGGGATTCCCTCTTCCCTCTCTCTCTGCCCCTCCCCTGCTCTATCTCTGTCTTTTTCATAATAAATAAACTTTTTTTTTTTTTTTTTACAAATAGTTTATTGTCAAATTAGTTTCCACATAACGCTCAGTGCTCATCCCCACAAGTGTCCTCCTCCATGCCCATCCCCCCCTCCCCCCCACGTCCATCAGTCCTCAGTTTTTGTCAGCATTCAAGAGTCTCTCATGGTTTGCCTCTCTCCCTTTCCCTCACCATTTCCGCCCTTCTTCTCCCCCTTGTTCCTCCGTCAAGTTCCTCCTAATCCTCCTATACGTGCAAACATATGATATTTGTCCTTCTCTGCCTGACTTATTTCGCTCAGCATAACACCCTCAAGGTCCATCCATGTTGCTACACATGGCCAGATTTCATTGTTTCTCATTGCCATGTAGTATTCCATGGTATAGATAAACCACATCTTCTTGATCCATTCATCTGTTGATGGACACTTAGGCTCTTTCCATGTTTTAGCTATTGTGGAGAGTGCTGCTATGAACATTGGGGTACATGTGCTCCTATGCCTCAGCATTTCTGTATCCCTTGGGTAAATTCCTAGCAGTGCTATTGCTGGGTCCTAGGGGAGTTCTATTGTTAGTTTCCTGAGGAACCTCCACACTGTTTTCCAGAGGGGCTGTACCAGTTTACATTCCCACCAACAGTGTAGGAGGGTGCCCGTTTCTCCACATCCTCGCCAGCATCTAGAGTTCTCTGATTTGCTCATTTTAGCCACTCTGACTGGCGTGAGGTGGTATCTCAGTGTGGTTTTGATTTGGATTTCCCTGATGCGGAGGGATGCTAAGCATTGTTTCGTGTGTCTGTTGGCCATCTAAATAAACATTTTTTTAAAAAGCCCACCGCAGGGTGCCTGGATGGCTCATTCAGTTAAGTGTCTGACTTCAGCTCAGGTCATAACCTCATAGTTCAAGGATTTGAGCCCCACATTGGGCTCTATGCTGGTGATGTGGAGACTGCTTAGAATTCTCTTCTCCCTCTTTTTCTGCCCTTGCTCAACTCATGCTTTTTCTTTCTCAAAAACAAATTAATATTTTAAAAACCCACCTTAAAAAAAATAATAATAAAAAATAAATTAAAAAAAAAAAACCCACCTTAAAACAGTGTTTCAAACATAATTAATCCTTAAGTAAGTATTTATTGACAACTTGTGCAACTATACTATCAGGTTTTTACATAATAAACAGTAAAAGTAATTGAGAACTTACTGTGTTCTAAACCCTGTGTTGTTTGTATGTGCTAATTTTTTAATGTAAAGTGTCATTTCATCATCACCATAAACTAACATAAATATTATTATTGTAAAGATTAAAATACACAGAGTCTAGGGGCACCTGGGTGGCTTAGTCAGCTGAGTGTCCGACTCTTGATTTCATCTCAGGTCATGATATCATGGTTCGTGGGTTCAAACTCCACGTCGGGCTCTGCACTGATAGCATAGAGTCTGCTTGGAATTCTCTTTCCTTCTCTCTGCCCTTTGTCCACTTGCACGCACACACTTTCTCTCAAAATACATACATAACCATAGAAAAAAAAGATAAACAAGGGGTCTCAGAAGGGTTGAGTAATTTGCCTGGAATCCTATAAGTTGTAATTGGCAAAATCGGGCTCAGCTACCCATATTTCTGATGCCAATGCCGATTCTCTTAACTGCCCAGTACAGCATTTCATCAGGGTGGTCTACAACTTGGAGGGGCATGAGTTAGTTGACTTTGAAAACCAGACATGTGTAACAATGAGTTGCTTTATAATGGGACTGATCCCACTGGATGATGTCTTTTGTTGGTCTTTTGGTGTCCTGAATGGCAGCATATTAAAAGCTCAAAAGAGCTGGATCTTCTAATGTAGTATGGATAAGAGCAGAAGCTTTGCAGCTAAACTGACTTGAGCTTAACTCCATGTTCCCACATGTATAGTTGGGTTCTTTCACTTCCACACTTCACTTTCCTCATTTGTGAAATAGGCACACCTTGAAATATCTTTCAGAGTTGTCATGGGAGATAAATATGATGACATCTGAAATATTTAGTATGGTATCCAGAACATCAGTACACCTAAAACTTCTTTTTAGAATTTAAATTATTTAAATAACTTAAATTTAAGTTATTTAAATTTTATTTGACAAAAATTTTTTAATGCTTAATGAGTATGCATTTCTATTAGAGTCTATGGGGGATATTTTTACATAATTTTATTTATTTATGGGGGCTTAAAGTGTTCTTAGTCCTGTCCTGGATGCTGGGGCTGAATTCAGGCAACTTGTAATTCCCTAAGTGCTTAAAACGGTAAGTAGTAATGCAAGATAGCTTGAGATTTTGAAGTGAGTGATGCAGCTAGGCATGGCCCAGGTTAGGATGACAATAAAAATTTTGCTAGGTTAGAATGACCAAAGTGAGTGCTTCTGTAAAAAGCAGAGGTTGCAAATTCTCATTTCCTCATTACTATTTTCCTACAGCAAATTAGAAAATAAGCAGAAAAGAAGCCAGGACTGGAGAATTAAAAACCATGTTTTTTTGTGATTTGTTCTGTGAAATCTCCTGAATTTTTTTTTATATTGGCAATAATTCATGTCTTTAAATGTATGTAGTTCCAGATAGAGTATATCTGTAGTTTCTAAGACTGGAACTGACCTTAGGAACCATCAGTTTCTAGCCCTTAATTGGCTGTTCTAGGACTCCTTGTTTTTTTTTTCAGCAGTGGCTCCAACAGATGTCAATCGAGATAGCGCAGTGAGGGAGTAGGGACTTGACCTGAGGGTTCGAGGTCCAGCTCTTATTGACCTTCTTTTTTCTGAGTGGCTTTTTTTTTTTTTTTAACTGGTTCAATCTTTGGTTTGTTCTTTGACAGGGTGTGGTGGAGCCACTGGAGGCAGCAGCTGGGACAGGTCCGTGTGGGCCATGCCCTCCATGCATCAGCTGTGAAGCACAGGGCCCTGAGCCTCCAGCTGCAGGTGAGTGCAGCAGACTCTGGCTTCGGTGTCTTCTGTCCATGTTGTCAAGCCCCATACCCACAGAGGATAGGGGTAGACTCCCAAGAAGGCGACTGACCATCATGCTGCTGCCTCTCTCCTGAGCCCTCCCTACAGCTAAGGGGGTGTCGTGGCAGGGGGGTGGAGGGCAGAAGCAACATGGAAGGCTGGGCTCAACGGATAGAGGCTGCTATTCGGAATATGCTAGGGGCACCTGGGTGGCTCAGTTGGCTAAATGTCCAACTTTGGCTCAGGTCCTGATCTCGTAGTGTGTGAGTTCAAGCTGCACATCAGGCTCTGTGCCGACAGCTCAGAGCCTTGAGCCTGCTTTGATCCTGTCTCCATCTCTGCCCCCACCCTCCCACTTGGGTGCACGGGTGTGCACGTGCTCTTTCTCTTTCAAAAATAAAAAGCATTTTAAAAATATGCTTAAATGTGATTACCAATGGTTTGTATAGTACATCTGCTAATCATGGAGCTGGCAAGGCATTTATGAATTAGTTATAAATATGATTAAAGAAATAATGGTATATTCTTTATTTCCTTATTACTTTTTTCCCCTACAGCAAATTAGAAAATAATGAGGGCAGAAAAGAAACTGAGACTGTAAAGAAAACCTGGCTTCTAAATACAATTTTGCTTATATTAGAGGTTTCTTTTGAGGAAGCTATAGCTTTTGGTCAGTAATAAAGGCCTAACATCTATACTAAGACTGTGCTGTGGTGAAGCTTTCTTATGACCTTTGATAGACTCTGAGTGTCTGTCAATTCTTTGGTCTGCTGAGTACTTCTAGGGCTGCCATGTCAGTTACAGAGAATAGAACAGGGACTAGGGAAAAAAAGTGACCTTTATATAGGAGTATATCTTTTTTTAATGTGACAAAATGTTGCATTGTCAATGCAAATGTTTGCAGTATATAGAAATCACATGCAAATAGCATATACAATCATCTAGGTCAGAGGTCCACAGACTGGCCCACACGTCATATTTGGCCTGCAGTCTGTTGTAAATAAAGTTTTATTGGGATGCAGTTATACCTGTATTGTTCAAGGTTGCTTTCAGGCTACAAGGGCAGAGCTGAGTAGTTCCCACAGAGCCTGTGTATCATGCAAGTCTAAAATAGTTATTAATTGACTTTGAAGAAAAAATTTGCTCAAGGCACCTGAGTGGCTCAGTTAATTAGGCATCCAACTTTGGCTCAGGTCGTGATCTTGCAGTCCGTGAGTTCAAGCTTACATTGTGCTCTGTGCTCCATTCTGCCACCATCCTTCCTCAGAGATGGTCTCTGCACTGATACAGTTATCATTCCCTTGTGGGGTTTTTTTTTCACTTGTAGAAATGTGTGCACACATACCCACAAAGAAGAAATGTAGTTAGGTTCTATGTAGTTAGGCAATTGATGAATGGTGGCACACTGGACATTTACTATGCAGCTTGCCTTTTTTATGCAACAGTATATTTTTAAGGTGTACCTTGTAGGTATGTAGAGATCTGTTAACTGTACACTATGCCATTGTATGAATAAGGCACAGTTTATCTGCTTCAATAATAGTCAATATTAAAGTAGTCAATATTAATACTAATGATGGACTATAGATTCCTTCTACATGTTTTCAATTACAAACGCATTTTTAAACATATATCCTTGTGCAAAAACATGAGAGATTGAGAGATACTGTAGTCTGGTTCCTGGAAGTGACCTTGTTGGATAATTCGGTATTCATCTCTCTGTCCTTATTAAGGATTACCCAGTTGCTTTCCAGTGTTGTGCCAATTTAAGTGCTAATATTTCAGTTCTTGTTTCTTTCTGCCTCTTCAGCACTGTGCATTGCCAGACTTGGTCATCTTCACCAATTTGATAGGTGTGGAGTGGTAATTCACTGTTGCTTTAATTTGTGTTTCACTGATTCTTGGTGAGGCCCAGCATCTTTTCAGATGCTTGTTTGCATTTGGGTTTCTGCTTTTGAGCTTGTTTACATCCTTCACTCTTTTACATGTTGGATTATTTGGCCTTTTTTTTTTTTTTTAAATACTGATTTGTGGATGTTGTTTTAGATTCTGCTGACTAATCTTTTGAGTGTTAGGGGAGCCTGAATGGCCCTGTTGGTTAAATGTCTGACTCTTGATTTTGGCTCAGGTCATGATCTCACAGCTCTGTGCTGACTGTGTAGCCTGCTTGGAATTCTCTCTCTCTGTCTCTCCCCCTCCCTCCCTCCCTCTTTCCCCTCCTCCATCCCTCCTACTCCTCCTTCTCTCCTCCTCCCCCATCAAGAATAAGTAAATAAATTTAAAACAACAAAACTAAAAGCTAATCTTTTGAGTGTTATGTACTATGTACTTTACATATACTTTCTTCCAGTTTATAGCTTTTTTTTTTTTTTTTTTTGCTTTGTTTATGATGCCTTTTTTCCCATACAGATATTGATTTCACCCTGGTCTAATTTATTCTTCTATCTTCTGGTTTGGTCTTTAATATATTTTGGGTTTAATTTTATAAATTGTGTGAAAAGGGTCTTAGTTTGGATATGGATATCCCTATGGATAATTAATTACTGCAGCACTAATTGTTGATTCATCAATCCTTTATCTTTTTTTTTAATCTTTTTTTTTTTTTTTTAAGTTATTTATTTTGAGGCAGGGAGGAGCAGAGAGAGAATCTCAGGCAGGCTCTTCAGGGAGCTCAATTTTGCAAATTGTGAGATCATGACCTGAGCCAAAATCAAGAGTCAGATACTTAACCGACTAAGCCACCCAGGTGCCCCTGTCCTTTGTCTTTTTTGTATGATTATTAATCTACTTTCACTGTAGAGTAAGGTCCCAGTAATTCATGCATCTGTGATGGGCTCTTCATTCCATTGGTCTGTATTTCTGTCTCTGAGCCAATACCATACCTTTAATTGTGATTTAATGAAGCAGGTAAGAAAGAGCAAATCTTCATACTACCTAGGTTTCTGCGTCAATCACCTATTAGCTTTGTACCTTTTAATGAGTTACTTACCCTCCCTGTGCCTTAGATTTCTTATCTGTAAGTAGATAATAATAGTACCTACCTCACAGGGTTGTTGAAGATTACGTGTGATGATACGTGTACTAGGCTTACAGCAATACCTAGAATATGGAAAGCTCTGTAAGTGCTAGCTGTTAATTACTGTTTCTACTTTTAAGGTATTTAGTTACCCATAGGGGGGTTAGAGGGAATAGTGTGGGAACAAAATGTTTCTGTGATTTTACTTTGTCACACAATTTTAACTTTGGAACCATGTAAATATTTTATATAATTTAAAAAAACACTCAAGTAAATTAAAAAGGAAAAAAAAAGAAATCCCCAGAATTTTATTATTATTATTTTTTAAATATTTTTATTTATTTCTAGGAGAGAGAGAGAGACAGTGTGAGCAGGGGAGGGTCAGAGAGAGAGGGAGNTTAAGATCCTTGATTCTTCCAGAAGAAAGGTTGCAAATAATTTTACTTATTTTCATTTTAAAATATGAAATAATAGAGACCAAGGGAGAAGCACATAGACCAAGAGACCACTAAAGGACATCTAATAAAATCTTCATGAAAAGAAGGTAATAGTAACTTTTTTTTAAATGTTTTTTTAAATTTATTTCTAGGAGAGAGAGACAGCGTGAGCAGGGGAGGGTCAGAGAGAGAGGGAGTCACAGACTGAAACAGGCTCCAGGCTCTGAGCTGGCAGTCAGCACAGAGCCCGACGCGGGGCTCGAACCCATGAACCGCGAGATCATGACCTAAGCGAAAGTCAGACGCTTAACTGACTAAGCCACCCAGGCGCCCCACAATCCCCAGAATTTTAAAGCACACTAAAACAAACTTAAATTTGTAGCCATGACTATACAGAGAAAATAATTACTTCAGGTAACTTTAAAATAGAATATTTTGACTGTTCATCCCTAGTGGGATGCATTCTAAGGACACAAAGAACTTCTAGGAAATCCAAAACTAGCATTCAGTAGTCTTATTGTTTGTGGCAGGTTTAGAATTTGTCATATTGAAACTATTATAGCTACATTGTGAAATAAAGCAAATAACTATGGTAGTGTCATTGGGAATCATGATTTTCAGTTTAAAAGAAAAGATTACAGAGGGTGCCTAGATGGCTCAGTTGGTTAAGCGTTCGACTTTGGCTCAGTTCATGATCTCATGGTTCATGGGTTCGAGCCCTGCGTCGGGCTCTGTGCTGACAGCTAGCTCAAGAGCCTGGAACCTGCTTAGGATTCTGTGTCTCCTCTCTCTGACCCTCCCCTGCTCACACTGTCTCTCTCTCTCTCTTAGAAATAAATAAAACATTAAAAATTTTTAAAAGAAAAGATTACAAATAGAAATTAAATAAAAAGCCCTATAATCTGAGATTGGAAATGTAAATATCAATATGGACTTAAGATGTTTTTAACCTTTTTTTATTTAAAAAAATTTTTTTAATATTTTTTATTTTTGAGAGACAGAGCATGAGCAGGGAAGGGGAAGAGAAAGAAGGAGACACAGTATCTGAAGCAGGCTCCAGGCTCTGAGCTGTCAGCACAGAGCCCGATGCGGGGCTCGAACCCCCAGACCGCGAGATCATGACCTGAGTTAAAGTTGGACGCTTAACCAACTGAGCCACCCAGGCGCCCCTAAGATGTTTTTAACCTTAAAAAAATGTATTTCTGATTCTATTTACTGGAAAATTAGAAGCAGTGAGTAGCAAGAATATATGGCATTTAGCATTCCCAGTGCCCAGGTTATGGTCTCTGTTATGTCCTGGCTGAAAGGAACTGAGGCTTTTTGGAGAAATGGCTGATTCCAGGTCTAGAGCAGGATGTGGTCATTATAAGCCTAGGATATAGTGTGCTGGAAAGTGAGGAAGTTAACAAAGGCTAATGGGATTGTGTCAGGACTCAGGAGCCAAAGGACTCTCATAGACTTATGACAGACCAATTGGGACATCAAAAAGTAATGACTGCAGTGAATTGAAAATGTATCAAATATATAAATATCCATGCATGTATAATGGGGGGGGAACTCACTGGTCACATATTTGGGTTGTTAGAGCATTTACTCAATATGACAAGTAATGAAAGCATAGGTGGCTCAGTTGGTTAAGCATCCAAGTCTTGATTTTGACTCAGGTCATGAGTAAGTTCCATGTTGGGCTGAGCACTGGACATGGAGCCTGCTTGGGATTCTTTTTCTTTCTCTCTCTCAAAAAAAGAGAAAATTAATGAAAACAAAAATCAAGCATTTTTCATGCCTTTCCTGTATAAACTATATCTTTGCAAAACCAGAGGGTAGGCCTCTTTACAAAATTCCAGTTAGTGATGCAGAAGAATTATTAGAATCAGAAAATCACTATTTTGCCACCCCTAATGAGAAAATGTATCTAAGCAGCAATCACTGACTGAGAAGACAGTGAGGAAAAAGTATTAGAGGGATCAGGCCAGCTTCATCTGAAGCCACTGACAAGTCTTGACATTGCTAAAACTCTGGCAGCCAGCCATGATGTGCCTCATGATGCGAGGTAATGGGAGTCCCCAGAACCACTTGAAAAATGTTCTTAACGTAAAAATTTGAACATGACTCCAACCTAGCCTAACATGAATCTAACTATCAGTTCCCAGGAAATATAGGGATCACGGGGAAAAGTCAAAAACACCTTGATGATTAGGGGCGCCTGGGTGCCTTAGTCGGTTAAGCGTCCGACTTTCGCTTAGGTCATGATCTCGCAGTTCGTGGGTTCGGGCCCCGCGCCGGGCTCTGTGCTGACTGCCAGCTCGGAGCCCGGAGCCTGTTTCAGTCTGTGACTCCCTCTCTCTGTGACCCTCCCCTGCTCACGCTGTCTCTCTCTCTCTCCTAGAAATAAATAAAACATTTAAAAAAAAAAACAAAACAAACAAAAAAACACCTTGATGAGACAATCAGCCAAATCTAAAATGTGGGACATTTTACAGGATAAATGACCTACTGTCTCTAAAAAATTGGTGGCATGAAAGAGGAAAAGAGGCAGGGAAGAAAACTATCCCATAAAAAGGAGATTTAGGGGCACCTGGGTGGCTTAGTCGGTTAAGCGTCCAACTTTCGCTTAGGTCATGATCTCGCGGTTCGTGGGTTCGAGCCCCGCGTAGGGCTCTGTGCTGACTGCCAGTTCAGGGCCTGGAGCCTGTTTCAGTCTGTGACTCCCTCTTTCTCTGACCCTCCCCTGCTCACGCTGTGTCTGTCTCTCTCTCTCCTAGAAAAAAAAAAAAAAACATTAAAATAAAAAAAAAAAGAGATTTAAATGAGATAACCAAAATAAAGCAGAAAGGATTGCTCTGGCTTTGTAACCAAACTACAAGAGTATTCATCCAAGTGCACAGGATGCCAATAAAAACTGACATCAAGCTTTTGCTGTGAAGAAAGATAGGCTACTTACTAGTGTGGCACCCAGGAGAATGAGAAGCTAATGTTCAAAAGTCCCAAACTGTCTTGGAGCACCTGGGTGGCTCAGTTGGTTAAGCGCCTGACTTCAGCTCTCTGGGCTCTCTACTGTCAGTGCGGAGCCCACTTTGGATCCTCTGACCCCCTCTCCCTCTGTCCCTCTCCTGCCTATGCTTGTTCTCTCTCTTTCTCTCTCTCTCAAAAATAAACATTAAAAAAAAAAAGAAAGTCCCAAACTCTCGTATGGCTTATAAGCAGGGGCTTTTAAAGGGTGAAAGTTCAGGGTAAGGGTCTCAGGGTCTTGGATCATGCTGATTGTTTATAGAGTTAGGTCAGCTATCACATTTCCTTTCTTGATCATATTGTCCCTTTTGGCATCTCCCAGTCTGGTTTCAGTGTTATTGTAGTGAGATGGTTTGGTGGTTCTGCTTCAGGGATCTGGTCATTCTGCGTTATGGGCCTGGAACTGCAAAACATTCTTAGGGATTGCATTATCAATGTCATCTCTAGAGCACAAAGGCAAAAGTTCTACATCTTGTGACTATCACTAAGCTGCAGATTTTTTTTTTTTCTGGCAAACACAGCACATTGTGTTTGTTATCTCAGGCAGAACGGCATCCCACAGAGTTTTTGAGAGGCAAGTTTATGTTACTCCCTGAGGCATCTTTACAGGGTAAGTAGAGGCTACGTAACTCTGGTCAGGTAGTGAGAAGCTATATGTCTAAATTGTGGGATCCAGGGGGGCTTTCACAGCTGTTGTTTAAGAATAGACCATAAAAGGGGTGCCTGGGTGGCTCAGTCGATTAAACATCGACTTCTGCTCAGGTCATGATCTCGTGGTTTGTGGGTTCGAGCCCCACGTCGGGCTCTGTGCTGACAGCTCAGAGCCTGGAGCCTGCTTCAGATCTTGTGTCTCCCCCTCTCTCTGCCCCTCCCCCACTCATGCTCTGTCTCAATAATGAATAAACATTAAGAAAAAAATTTTTTTGAAGAATAGACCATAAAAGATCAAGGGTGAAAGCAGGGAGAGCAGTTAAGAAGTTATTATAAAGTCCCAGGTGGGATTCTAGGCAAGGATGATAGCAAGATGGTGTTGGATTCTGGGTATACCATTGAAGGTAATGCTGACAAGACTCGCTAATAGGTAGTTAAGATGTGAAGTTTCAGAGAAAGAGTGCAAGGTGACTCTCAGGTCTCTGGCCTAAGTGACTGGAACAGTGGAGTTGCCATTTAGTAAAATGGGGAAGATGGAGGGTGATGCAGGTTTTGTGGGGCAGGGAGAGTTAGCTCCATTCTGAGCTTGGTATCTTCAACCTGATAGGCCTTTTGAACATCCTCAAGGAAATGTGAAGGAAGCAGTTGGATATATGTGGAGTATGGAGGATGGGTCCAGACCCAAGATGTAAATTTGGGAGTTCTTGGCATGCAGTTGGTATTTAGTCATGAGACTGCTGAAAGGACAATGGGAGGGGCGCCTGGGTGGCTCAGTCAGTTAAGCGTCCGACTTGAGCTCAGGTCATGATCTCACAGTTTGTGGGTTCGAGCCCCGCATCGGGCTCTGTACTGACAGCTCAGAGCCTGGAGCCTGCTTCGGATGCTGTATCTCCCTCTCTCTCTGACCCTCCTCTGCTCATGCTGCCTCTCTCTCTCTCTCAGAAATAAAAAAATCATTAAAAATTTAAAAAAAAAAAAAAGGACAATGGGAGTGAGTTTAGCTGGTGCGGGGGGAGGTAGCGGGATTAGTCCCAGGGCTGAGCCTGGGAGGAATAAAGGTGAAGGTAGCCTAGAGAATCTGCAGGCCTGATTGGCCACATCAGATGCTTCTGGCAGTCCAGGGAGGGTGAGGAGTGGAATTTGACCTTTGGCTTAAGCAACTCGGAGATCATTGATGCTCTTGGTAAGAGCAGTTTCAGTAAGCCTGATTGGGAGAGGATTCATGAAGGCCTTCTTGGGGGAAGAGAAATTAGAAAATAGACCTTTCTTTTGAGGAGTTTGGAAAGAAAAGAACTCCAGTGTTAGCTGGATTGCAAAGTGATCTAGTGGTGGTTTGCTTAGGAATCTGATTTATTCCTTTCCTTACAAAGTGTTTTTGTAACAGTAATCTTTTCCCCACCACTTTTTAGTTTTGATAAATACCAAATGACAGAAAAGGTAGATATTGTATTCTTTTCACTGGTTTAACCTATTGCTATCATCTTGCCACATTTGCTTTTTCTAAGTATATCAATATATTTCTTATATTTTCTAAGTCACTTTAAAGTTGCAGACATGAAAGTTCATCCTAAATACTTCAGCTTATATCTCCTACGAATAAGGATATTCTTCTATATAATCACAGTATCATTATCATATCTAAGCATTCAATATTGATATATCTACAATACGATTCATATTTAAACAATAGATAATTGCTATTTTAGTGTCAGGTCCAGGGTCCAATCAGAGGTTATCTGTTGTTTTTGATTGTCATATCCTTGAAGGGATTTGCTTTTTAGGGTTGGAGAAATAATAGCACATTCATATGCTGATTTTAAAAACCTAGTAGAGTGTGAAAACCAATGATGCAGAAGGGGGGAATTGTCAGCGATGTACTTGAGAAAGTGAGAGACATGGGATGTATCCATAGTGGAGAGTGAACTTCTGATGGAAGGGAGTATGGACAGTTTATTCAGAGTAACCAGAGAGAAGGCAGAGCCTGTGAGGTAGTTGGGTAGGTAGATGTGGGTGAAGCTTGAGAAAATTCTCTTTTGATAGCTTTTATTTTCTTGCTGAAGTAGGAAGAATGGTATTCAGCTGAGAGGAAGGAAAGGAGAAGAGGTGTTACAGGTTTAAGAAAAGAAGGTATGAAGTTGCCATCTGAGACTGTCATCTTCAAACTAGGGCATGCATAAGGCTATGCACACATGAAGACTTTGCTAAGGGTGCACAGTTATGGATAACCTTAAGGGAATCCTTTTGTAGACCCTCAACTTCTGCAGGTCACACTTCCCAAAAACTAATGTGCCTAAGACAATAGGCTTCCTTCACTTGGGAGAAAAAGGCACATACCGTTGCCTGTCCCAAATATGAATTAAGTATATCACCCTTTGGATTGTCCCTGCCTTTTGTCTATTTGTTGATTTCATTATTCCTCTTTACCTTGTTCTTTTTTAAAAAAATATATTTTTTTTAATGTTTATTTTAGAGATGGGTGGAGAGGGGCAGAGAGAAAGCGAGACACAGAATCTGAGCCAGACTCCAGGTTCTGATTCTGAGCTGTCAGCATAGAGCCAGACATGGGGCTCGAACCGTGAGATCATGACCTGAGCTATAATCAGATGCTTAACCCACTGAGTCACCCACCCTCCTTGTTCTTAATCCAGAAAAGAAATTACTTTCTCCAAGTAGGATGCCCTTTCACTGCAAATTTCCACAGCTCGTGATCCTGCTTGGGGGTTGCCACTGCCTTGTTTTTAACTTTAGCTTTGTGTCTCTGTTTCTCTTTTCCCTCACCAGTACCTTTGTTTTCCTGTCTCTCCTTTGATTGTTGCCTTTTCTCTGGTTTTCAGGCTTGGTCACAGTGGCAGGAACAGCTCCTGTATGCCCAGAGGGAGAGACGGAAGATGGTCTCCGCAGTGAAACACCATCAGCGCTGGCAAAAGTGGAAATCCCTGAAGGCCTGGCTCGGATACCTGCAGGTCCGCAGAGTGAAGAGACAGCAGAAGGGTGAGCAGGAAGTCCTGGGTTCCAGAGACAGAGGGTCATGTCACAATTTAGTCTTCTGTCAGTGGTGCTTTATTAAGGAGAGATATAACCAAAAAAAAAAAAAAAAAGAGAGAGAGAGAGAAATTATGCCACAAATTCTGGAAAAAAGAGATTGAGGGGCGCCTGGGTGGCTCGGTTGGTTAAGCATCCGACTTCAGCTCAGGTCATGGTCTCACGGTTCGTGGGTTCGAGCCCCACATCGGGCTCTGTGCTGACAGCTCGGAGCCTTGAGTCTACTTAGGATTCTGTCTCCCTCTCTGTCTGCCCCTCCTCCACTCACACTCTGTCCTGTCTCTCTCTCTCAAAAATAAAATAAACGTTAACAAATTCAAAAAAGAAAAGAGAGATTGAGGAGGAACAGACATCATCTTCAAGTCCCATTTAAGTTATTTCCTTCTGGCCTTTTCCTCTACACATAATTTTTTCAAAAACGGTTTAATTGTCCTATAGATACTGTGATTATTTGATTAATAGGATACATACAATTTTGTGTTATTTTTTTACACAACTAACAACATTTTCCTGTGTCTTTCAGTATTCTTCATAATGTTATTTTTCTAATGATTGTCTGCATTTTGTAGGATGGCTTACCTTAATCTACTTAGCCATTCTTGTATCGATAGATATTTGGATTGTTTCTACTTCTCCCCACTTATGTAACCCATGTCATTTAGGATATTGAGGGTTGTTTTGTTTTGTTTTGTTTTTACCACTATTCTCATGGCTTAATTTCCCAATTAGAGTTCAGATCATGAGTTCACATTGATCATGATCGTTGGTACTTTCTGTACTTTAGTTTCTGGAGCCCACACAGAAGTGAGTCAAGCAGCGTGCTAGATGCTGGCTGGCTTTCACCCAGGCCTCCCTCCTGGGCTGCCAGGCCAGCACTGCCTCTTGGAGGAGTTTGAATGTGTCTGTCTGAGGATAATGAAGGACACCCACTGTCTGGTTGCCAAAGCCTGGAAGGTGAAAACATGAAGCTATTTAGCATGATAAGCTGTTACTTAGGCACTGACTAATGTGCGTCTCTTTATAGCATTCGAATTCCAGGACCAGGTCCCTTCCACTTCCTGAATTTCAGTGCATCAGGCCATTAGCTAATTAGTATTAAAAGCAGGTGACTGGCAGTCAGGATTAGTCTGGCTGAAAGCTCAAAAAACACCTTTGCCAGCATAGTGACCAAGTTATGTCATTGAGTCAATCTCTGAAGTCCCACCCAGGAGACATCAGTAAAGAGGCAAATGTAAGAGTCTTCTTTGGAAAAGCAGCAGCCACCATTCCTGCTCATAGGTGGAAGCCTCAACTCGTTAATACAACTGAATTTTTAGCATCCTAGTCCCTAAAATTACAGACCTTTTCTCTTTCCTTGCAGAAAAGTATAGCTAAGGGCTTCCAAATAACCCACCCCTGCCTAAAAAAAACTTTTATTTTAGGATTCTTTGTAAGAACAGCCTTAAATCTCTGCTGTCTGCCAGTTGTAGGGTGCAGCTTATCTTAAAGATGCTTCCAGCTCATCTCTTAACCTTGCATGGGGCAGCACGTTGTTACTTTCTTTGTTGCAGAGATGGCGGAGCGATTCCACTGGGTCACTGTGCTCCAGACACGCTTCTGTGATTGGCAGTGGGCCTGGAAGCGGAAGGAGAGTCTGTATACCCAGCACGCACGCGTGGAGGGGCTGGCCAGGAAGATGGCAATGCGTTGGGCCTTTACTCACTGGAAACACTGTATCCTTTTCAGCCATCCAGCCCTATCTACCCCCACAGCCAGGATATCATGAGCTCAACAGCCTATGAGACACAGGGCAGGAGCTATTTGGGAAACAATTACTAAGCAATTAAGGTGGTCCTTATCTCTGTTGATTTCTTTTTTAAAAAGTTTTAACTGGAAATATGCGTACAAAAGAGTATGTGTAGTACACATTAAGAGTTTAATGGGTGGTAATAAAATACCTATGTACCCACTACCCAGCTTAAAAATTAGAACCCTGCTAACACTGTCTGTTCATCCGGTTTTTTGTTTGTTTTTGTCTGCTCATCCTTGATTGCATTCCCTTTCCTCCCCCTCAGTGGTAATCCCACTATCCTGAATTTTATGTGCTATTTCATTGCTTTTCTTTATCTACTAGGTGGTGGAAATAGCCATGGCTGTGTGTTTCTTGGCAGCCCTAACATTATGACCATAGTTTCCATTAATTAAGCTTTACCATGTAGAGACACTATGCATTATCTCTTTAACCTTCATAGCAACGCCATGGAGTAGGTGTCAGTATTTCCATTTTATAGATGAGGAAACAGAAATTCAAAGGGGCTCAATGATTGTCAGAGTCACAGCTTATGAGTGGCAGAGCCAGGGGTTTCAGACCCAGGCCTTTGACTCTGGTGCACGTGTCCTTAATTGCTGCCCTCACTACAGCATATGCCCAGATGAGCAGATTCATCCAAGGAGGTGAGGCTTGAGCTGACTTTGTTGTATAGGATGACAAGGTCCCCTGGCAAAGTCAGGAAAGGTGTTTTAAGTGGAAGGAGTAGCATTTACACATAGATTACATATAGATGAGGAAAATATCCAATGGCAGTGACGGGTCTGTTATGGAGCTGTGGGGGAGTGGATGGCAGTAGGGCAGTACAGATGAATGCAGGCTGGGGACCACTTGTAGAGACCTGGATGCAGCAGTCAGGAATTTGGGCTTTCTCCTGATGGCACTGGGGATCCTCTGGAGGTGTTTAAGAAGAGAAGTGATGGAGCAGGTTTGTACTTAAGAGGAGCGGTCTGGATTACAGGGTGAAGCTGGCACCAGGAGAGCAGTTACATGAGACTCTGGCCAGTCTGTGTGAGGAGCAAGTCAGATGCACTGCAGGGCATCAGAGGTGGGGACAGAAGAGCCGGAGAGATTTCAGAGGAGACTGGATGGACTTGGCAGCCCAGTACATGGAGGGAGTGGGAGTAGAAGGTATGAAAATAACTCCAAGGTTTTTAGCTGAAACCTTTAGTTTTAGTTTGGGTTTGGGTGCCAAAACAAAGGATGCAAAAAGACAGGAGACTTTAGAAAGGGTTACTTGGAAATGTTTACTGTAATTCATGGCAATTTATCTCAACTATTTTTGCCTGTTATCAAATGGGCATCAGAAGGGAGAAAGGCAAGGCCAACTGTTTGATAAGCAGCTCACACAGTTTCCCTTTGCCTCCTCTTCCTCGGATCATCAGGAGGAGACAGAGGTGGACATCAGCCCACCTGGCATGTCTGTTATCCCCCAAGCCAGGACCCTCCCAATGGGTCACTGGGATTGCAGTGTGCTGGAGTGGGAACATTTTTTATATGAAAGGCCTTAACACCCTGGCAGATGTGCTGCTGTGCACCGAAGAAGCGGCCCAGTGGAAGGTGGCAGAAGATCACAGTAGACACAGCTTGCTGGTGAAAACACGGAGCCTCAAAGCTTTTTTTTTTCCCCCTCCAGGAACTGCCAAAGTTTTAGTGTTTAATATTTAACAGCACAACTGACCAATATCCAAGATGTGACATTACCATGTTTAAGAAACTGGGGCGGTGGGTGGGGAAATCACTCTATAAACTAATTATATAGTATGTGATAAGGAGAAAGCATTCTTTATAATAGAAAGCCTGTCTACACATAGTAGTTGCTTCAAAAAGCCATACTTACCAACCTTGTTCAACCATCCACTTTTGGGAGACCCAGGCCCACATCATGCTCTTCAAGTATATCTGGTTATGGGATTAGCTTCACTCCAGAAGCTCTGTTCCATTGCATGTGTCCTTGTTTTCATTTTGGATCAGAAATGGTAATGGTCTGGGAGGTGATCTAGTATTGCATTTTTTTACATGGTGGGTCCCCTTTTTATTTTTTATTTTCATTTTTTTTAAGATTTTATTTTTAAGCCCCAATATAGGGCTTGAACTCATGACCCCAAGGGCAGGCCCCCTTTTTAATTGTGGAAGCCTAGTCTGTGAAATCAATCAAAGTAGAAATTCTGGGGACAAAGCAGGGTCTGAGGAGTAGTCCCTCTTTGTGCTGCTTTCCCCAACCCTTACCACATGAGGAGATCTTGAGACACTTTCAGGAGCTTCTGGGGTTCCACAGACCACAAAATGAAAACCCCTAAACGCTTCACTTCTGTCTCAGGAAACTGGAGCCCAGGGCATTGGAGAATAGACTTTGCTTAGGTCACATGTGAGGCATTATTGCTGGAGCTGGAGCCAGTCACTTCTTGCCCCTGCCCCAGGCCCCTTACTCACCAAGGCTTCCTTCTCTTCTTTTTATTTTATTCTACAAAATTACTTTCTAATTGTAGAAGTGTGCACATTGACACCCCCCACCCACATACACACGGCTTAAAAAACATACCATAAGCTAAAAGTTTTTTTCTGAGAGGCAAAGTTGATGTTTTTAACCTTTGTCTGTAGTGTTCCCTCTGGGCCACGGGATCTCTCCTGGTCAGAGGTGAGGGTGTGTTTGTTCCTGTGTAGTATCAGTGGACAGTAGAGAAGCAATTCAACAGCTGTTTATTGAGTGCCTACTGTGCAGGCTGGCAACTGAATCTCAAAGCAAAGAAGCATCCCAGGGACATTGGAACAGCTGTGAATATCCACAACTGAGCTGCTGGATTCCGCTGCTGCTCTTACTTTTACAGACACTGCTGATTTGTAACCTGTTGTATCCTTCCTTCTATTCACAGCATTTCTGTTTTCGAGCCCTAAAAGACAATGTGACCCATGCCCGTCTCCAGCAAATAAGAAGGAATCTTGCTCACCAGCAGCATGACATCATGGTGAGGGTCGTCTGTATGAAGGGGCCTCTGGTGGCCATTGTAGAGATTTGTCCAGACTTTCTAGACTCCAAAACCTTAGTGTCCATTTTCTCTAATTAGCCATACCAGCTAACTCTTGGTTTTTCCTAATCTTGTTTTTTTATCTGCTCAGAAACTTGATAGCAGACTCACAGGTCAGGTTCCTGATCTAGGGAATACACTTTGAGTCTTGCATTCCAGGAGGCTTTGGTGGTGTTTGCACTGGAAATCTGTTGTCTTCAGTGGGTGGTTTACTTGAGGGTAACAAACATCCTATCCCTACTTACAGATCATGTTTCTGGGTTTAGGAGGATGGGGTGGTTTTGGTTTTGGTTTTCATTATGAAAATGTTCAAACATACTAAAAAAATATAAAAAATAGTATAATGAACATCTATATACTTACAACCTAAATTCAAATATTAGCCAATTGATAATATTTACAGTTTTTTTGCTGGGTCATTTCAAAGTAAATTATAGACAACATGACACATTACACCTAAACTTTTCAACATGCATCACCCAAAAATAACATTTTCCTTCATAACCACAATATCATTGTCATCCCTAACAAAACGAACAGTAATTCCCTAATTAGTGCCCATCCTATATTCAGGTTTCACAGTTGCCCTTAAAATGTCTTTATAGCTATTTTTTTCAAACCAGGATCCAATTAAGGGTTGGTGAATCACTATATTTGGTTATATCTCTTAAGGCTCTTAATAACAGCCATCCTCCTTCCACTTCTTTTGTTTAACATGTTTATTTTGCATAATTGTGGTAAAAAAAAAAACACATAACAAAATTTATCATCTTAACCACTGTCAAGAGTACATACAGTTCAGTGACATTAAGCACATTCCCATTATTGTGCAACCATCACCGCCATCCATCTCCAGAACTTTTTTCACCTCGCAAAACTGAAATTCTGTCTCCATCAAACGCTGACTTCCCATTCTCCGCCCCACTCCGCCCTAGCACCTGGTACCCACCTTTTTTCCTTTCTGTCTCTATGAATTTTACTACTCTAGGGACCTCGTATTTACAGTACATGCCCCCTGCCTTTTTTTTTTTTTTTTTTTTTTTACATTTATTCATTTTTTAGAGAGCACAAGCAGGGGAGGGCAGCAGAGAGAGGAGACACAGAATCTGAAGTAGGTTCCAGGCTCTGAGCTGTCAGCACATAGCCTGACGTGGGGCTCAAATTGACGAACTGTGAGATTATGACTTTAGCTGAAATCTGAAGCTTAACTGAATTGAGCCACCCAGGTGCCCCAGTACCTACCCTTTTGTGACTGGCTTAGTTCACTTAGCATAAGGTATGCTTTTTTTTTTTTCCAGTGACACTGATTTTTGGAAAAGGAGGGCCAACTATTTTGTACAATATTCCATATTCTCAATTTATCGGTTTCCTTTGGATGGCATTTTAGTTTTCTTTTTTTTACATATTGCTCCTATAAACTAGAGGTTAGATTTAAGGACTTGATTAGATTGAAGTAAAAAAATTTATTTTTTTGACAAGACTATTTCATAAGCAGTAATATGTGATAAGATCAGTTTTAACTTTTAAAATGCCATTGTCAAGGCACCTGGGTGACTGAGTCAGTTAAGCGTCTGACTTAGGCTCAGGTTATGATCTCATGGTTCATGAGTTCCAGCTTTCCAGTGCTGAAAGCTCAGAGCCTGCAGCCTGCTTTGGATTCTGTGTCTCTGTCTCGTCTCTCTCTTTCTCCAAACAAAAAAAGATAAAATGGCACTGCCTTCTATGAGGCTCAGATGATGAATAGCTTCAGCTTCTTCATTCTCATTTCCATAGACTAGAAAATCCATCTTTGTGCCTTTTTGTTGGTCCACAATAGCTCTGTATAGCTTAGCTCTAATTATTTTGTAAGCCTGTTACGTGTTGGGTACTTCCGATTGAGGCGTAATTCCTGCTTTGAGGGAGCGTGTAGTCTTTTGGGGTAAGGATTTGCTAATGGATTAAGAGAGAACATTTTACCTTTTGGCTTAATAAACCTCCATTTCCTTCCTGTTTTACTTCAGCTGCTGCACAGGTTCTGGAACCTCTGGCAGTCTCGAATTGAGCAGAAGGAAGAGAGGGAGCAGCTCCCCTCACTGCGTGCTGCCTGGGACCACTGCAGGTAGGAACTCAGGCCTTGTCCTCAGGTTCTCTAGGGACTAACTCGCTACACTCCAGTAAGTGAGCACTTACCCCCTCCCCCACCCCGTGCATGACTGGGCAGATTCAGAAAGGCCCTGCTGTAAACCAGTGGTTCCTAAGCTTGCGTTTTCCTTTTATCTCATCCGAGGAGAGGTAGAGTGAAGATGTTTGTATTGGTTCTTGGTCACCATTGTTTAATGTGTGTACCTGCTGGCTTCCTGCCTCTATCCTTCAGGCTGCAATGATGTTCACATCTTAGAATTCATGCACTGATAGTGTTAAAGAGAATGCTCAGGCGGGTGGGTATTTGTGGCTTAGTCTTGAAGAATGAAGAGAGTGTCCTGAGTTTTTTAGAGTTAATTGTTCGGTTAAAATAAATAAGCACTACATGCCTGTGTGGAAAACTCATCATAGAGGAAGGCAGGTATAAAGTGAAAACTGAAAACTGTCTGAATCCCTCCTTCCAATCCTTAGTCCAGTTCCTTAGGTTCTTCAGAGGGAATCCCTACTCACTTTCTTACTGCCAGAAATGTTCAACGTGCCCTCCTCCCCAGTAGTATAATCAGCTTAATCCACATAGTTCTAGGTCCCATTTTGGAGCACTTTTTTAATGAGTTGGTGAGAATCTCAATTAGTTAACTAAATTTTGAGTTATTAGGGTCTCTCATTGCTCTAAATCCTGTGGTTTACGGAACTGAATGTGGTTCTTACTGTCAATATCACTTTTGTGAAAGGAGTTTTGCCATAGACCCAGGTAGTCCTACACAAGCCCCAGACTGCTCATAAAACCAGAAAGTTTGGCATACTTAGGGGATTTCATACGTATTACTCAGGTTCCAGAGACACTGTGCTTGGTGGTCTACCTAGGTTTATAAGAAAGTTGTCAAAATTTGGGGGCAAGCCACAGCCCAAAATCAGGGGTTAACAGATTTCGTGTTGAATAATAGGTTCTCATTTCCCTCTCTCCCAGAGTGAAACCCATGGGATGCCTTTAATGCTGAAGATGTAACTACACCCAGACTTTCCAGCCTTAAAAAAACAAGCAACATTTTTATTTATTTATTTGTTTGTTTACGAGAGCAAGTGTGCATGAGGGACAGGGCAGAGGGAGAGGGAGAGAAAGATTCTTTTTTTTTTTTTTTTTTTTTTACAAATAGTTTATTGTCAAATTAGTTTCTACATAACACTCAGTGCTCATCCCCAAAGTGCCCTCCTCCATGCCCATCCCCCCCTCCCCCCCACACCCATCAGTCCTCAGTTTTTGTCAGCATTCAAGAGTCTCTCATGGTTTGCCTGAGGGAGAGAAAGATTCTTAAGCAGGCTTTATGCTCAGCAGGGAACTCGATGTGGGGCTTGATCTCACAATTGTGAGATCATGATCTGAGCTGAAATCAAGAGTCAGACGCTTAACCAACTGAGCCACCCAGGTTCCCCCAGACAGCATTTTTAAGACCCAAAACTTGAAAGTATAATAGGCAGTACCTTGGTGTTCTGTGTTTTATTTCAGAATAACATTGCTACACAAGTGTATCAAATTGTGGTTACGGTATACTCAGAAGAGGCGATACAAGCAGGTATGGAGTACTTCATAGTAGATAACTCCACTGAGTTACATTCTTGGATCCATTTGCTTTGGAAAGATTCTTAGACCTATGCTAAGGGGTCTTGGTGCTCTTATTTGGAAGAGAAGATGCTGTAAAAAGCTCAAAGGTTTTTCCCCCTGATCTCTCTAGTGATATCAGAAAGTCTACATAAGCCCCATTCCTTCATCTGCTGGGAAAATGCACATGTTCTGAGAGTGATGAGCTCCTCCAAGCCATTCCATTCACATCATCATTACTCACTTATTATATTAGTTGGCCAACCTTCAGGAAGTACTGGGAAAGATACAGAACATAAGTGCCGTGTCTCAGTACTAAACAGTGTGAGACCAGTACCCACAGCAGGTGGGAGGATGTGGGGGTCAGGCTGGCAAATTAGTAAAGGAAGATTAAGAAAGAATTCAGTTCCATTTTTTTTTTAATTTTTTTTCTTTTTTTTTATTTCTAGGAGAGAGAGAGCGTGTGAGCAGGGGAGGGTCAGAGAGAGAGGGAGTCACAGACTGAAACAGGCTCCAGGCTCTGAGCTGGCAGTCAGCACAGAGCCCGATGCGGGGCTCGAACCACGAACCGCGAGATCATGACCTAAGCGAAAGTCGGACGCTTAACCGACTAAGCCACCCAGGCACCCCTTCAGTTCTATTTTTTTAAAAGTTTTATTTAAGTCATCTCTACACCGAACAAGGGGCTCAAACTCACAACCCCGAGATCAAGAGTTGCATGCTCTTCTCACTGAGCCAGTCAAGCGCCCTCTAATCAGTTCCATTTAAGAAAGACTCATTCAGCATCTGGTATGCCTGAGACACTCTGCTGAGCATTGAGTATACAGTTGTGATACAAACCAAATGAAATTCCTGCTCCCACAGGCCTTGTAATTTAGCACCAGCATGGCAAATAAGCTGTAATGGGGGGGCCAGCTGTTGAGAATGCTCAACCAAGAAGGATTTTGAGGCCACCTTTATGCTTGGAGAATTTGTGTTCAACTGATAATTTCTGCATGGGCATTGCAGTGGTAAGTGGTGCTGCCCATGGCACTTTTTGGCCATCCCTGTTGAAATGGAGGAAAACGCAAACCAAACTCCTGCCAGTTGTCTTTCTGTTGCCTTCTCACCCCCCACCTCCATCTGCTGCTAAAGTCTAACACATGAATCTGAAGAATTTGGCTATTTCCTCACAGTGTTGAGATAGAAACTGGATTTTCTAGCCAGGTGTACAAACTTCTTTGGAGCTGGTTTCTGGCAATTTTGCTGGCCTTTCCTGTTACCACTCTGTTCCTTCACAATAGCTAAGCTGCCAGTCCTTCCCTGAATGTGCTTCTCACTGTGCCTGCCCTTTTTTTTTTTTTTTTTTTAAGTTTATTTATTTATTTTGAGAGAGAGACTTGGCAGGGGAGAGCAGAGACAGGGAGAGAGAATCCCAAGCAGTCTCTGTGCTGTCAGCACAGAGTCTGATGCGGGGCTAGATCTCACAAACCATGAAATCATGACCTGAGCTGAAATCAAGAGTTGGTCACTTTACCAACTGAGCCACTCAGGCACCCCTGTACCTGTACCTCTCTGTCCCTCCTACCTGTTGAGCCCAGGTGCTACCTCTTCCCCCAGCCCCACTCCGTGTGGTTTTACCAGCGTATTCATCAATATCATTATGTAGGTATCTACGGGCCTCTTTCCTGCCAGACTATGAGCTACTTAAGGGTAAACCCTGTCTGTTTCTTCTCAGCTCAACACAGTGTTACAAAGGGAAGGTGCCAACTAATGTTTAGACAAATGAACGAACAAACAAGTGAACAGACAAACTACCATTGGTTGCTTTGGAGTTTTTCCTAAAGATCATCCCAGTCCTTGCTCCTCAGGTGGTACCAGCCCAGGGCATTGCTTGCCTTCCATATCTGGAAAATGCTTTGAGTTGCTGCATTATTTGATATTCCTTTTAGATGATGTGGCTGTTTCTGAAAGGATTGTGCTACTGGTCTCTTAAGCTCATTTAATGCAAGCTCACCAGAAGGAAGAGACCTTTTAGAAAAAGAATCTGCCTGCTAGGATTGAAAGTTGTATTTATTTAAGGTGTAAAAGTAGCAGAGAGTCTCCTATTTTCCTCCTGGAAAAAGAGAGCCTCTGGACACTGGGGCCCAGCATTGGTGGAAAGGTCAGGGCAAGGGTCAGTGTTCTTATCTTTTACACTGCTCTTGCATGGCCTGCATAATTTATGAGGTCTGAAAAATAGTAAGAGCCCCTGCTTAGTTACTATTGGATTGTTTTTTCAAATCTTTAACAATCTGAATGTCATCTAAGGAGATGACCTCAGAGAACATCAAGTTCTTTAGGGAGAACATTAGTTTTTTCTATTTCAAGAAAAGATAAAAATATTATTCACTGTGGGGTTCTTTTTAAAAAGTGATACATATAGGATGGCAAAATGTTTGCTAATTATTGGAGCTAGATGGTAAGTTAAGGGGAATTCATTATATTATTGCCTCTCCTTCTGTTTACATTTGAAAATGTGAATGCCCATAAGCAATATATAGACATTATAATTTGAGAAGTGTAGGAATACATAAAGGAAAAAAAATAAAACACCCATAATCTTAAGATAACATTTGGTGAGTAAATCTGGTATTTTTTTCCTCCATGTGCATGGAAGTATGTATACCATATATTCACACACACACAGATGCGTACTGTTCAGTTATCTGTTGCTATGTGAAAAGTCACCCCAAACTCAGTGGCTTAAAAAAAAATTTATTAGGCCTATGGATTCTGTGGGTCAAAAATTGAAAGAAGACATAACAAAGATGGCTGATCTCTGCTCCAAGATTACTGGGGCCTCAGCTCGGAAGTCTAATGGCAGGAAATTAGGATCATCTAGAAGTTTCTTCATTCAGATGGCTGGTTCCTGGGCTGGAATAACTTGAAGACTGAGCTCATCTGGGATTGTTAACCAGAGCGCCTATATCAGGCCTCTCTGAGAGGCTTGGATTGCCTCACAGCATGGTGATGGTGGCCTCAGGGCTGTCAGACTTCTGTGTCATTGCTCACTCCAAAAGCCTCACAGTGAACGAAACACAAGCTGTGTGGCCTTTTATGACCTAGCCTTCAAAGTCACATGGTGGTATTTTCACCATTCTCTGTTGGTCAAAGCAGTCATTATCCTGCCCGGATTCAAGGGGATGGGACTTCTCAGTGAAGAAGACCCAAGAATTTGAGGTCCTGTTTTAAAATCCACCACACATTTTATCCCAAAGTTTTGGGTCATGGAAGCATATATGTATTTTTTATGTTGGTTTTGTGTCTTCCTATTGATATTTGGTGATATAGTAGTAGCCTTTCATAATTACATAAAAATTTAAAGAATCCATATTACAAATAAACATCATAAACAAAATCCAAAGATCTGTTACAAAGTGGAAACAATATTGTTAACACATGTTGCAAAGAACTGATAAATTTCTTAAGGTTCAAAAAGCCCATTTATATCACTGAGGTAAAGCACTGGCAGGTATAAAAGAGGCAATGGGGGCCTCCTGGGTGGCTCAGTCTGTTGAGCATCCAACTTTGGCTTAGGTCATGATCTCACGGTTTGTAGGTTTGAGCCCTGCGTTGGGCTCTGTGCTGACAGCTAGCTCAGAGCCTGGAGCCTGTCTTCAGATTCTGTCTACCCCTCTCTCTGTGACCCTCCCTTTCTCACGCTGTCTCTATCTCTCTGTCAAAAATAAATAAAACATGGGGCGCCTGGGTGGCTCAGTTGGTTAAGCGTCTGGCTTTGGCTCAGGTCATGATCTCACGGTTCGTGGGTTCGAGCCCCGCGTTGGGCTCTGTGCTGACAGCCAGCTCAGAGCCTGGAGCCTGCTTCCAATTCTGTGTCTCCCTGTCTTTCTGACCCTCCCCTGCTCATGCTCTCTCTCTCTCTCTCAAATAAATTTAAAAAATTTTTAAAAACTAATAAATAAATAAAACATTAAAAAATTATTAAAAATTTTCTTTAAAAAAAGAAGCAATGGTATGAACACTTAGTACATAGGACAAAACGTTTAAATATATATGCATGTATGTATGCACGCACATACACAGATATTTGAAGAGATGCTTAACCTGTTTTTAAAGTAAAAATTTCTTCCATCTCTTCATTCTTTACCTATTGTGTTGACAAGGATTAAAAATAATTCTTAATCTTTTTCTCAATCTTGTGTAGAAAGCAACCATCCCTCTAGAGTGTGACCCTTAAAGATCATTTTTTAAATAATATAAAGTACAAGTAAAGGTCATTCATTGTTTTACTGTAGCGGCTGCAGTCCAGAGCAGACCGTCATTTCCAGCAGAGAGCCCTGCCTGTGGCCTTTCACAGATGGAGAAAACTCTGGCGATGGCATCAGCAGGAAAGTGCCCTCAATGCAAGAGCAGCACATTTTCACAGGTATGTTGTGCAGCTCCTGTCTGAGCAGGCTTCTCAGGTCTGATTCTGCTGCCCACACAGCCATTTGTGTTGTTTTTCAGCCTCCTAGCCCCTTAGGCCCCGGTTCTTCCTGGTTTTTCAGTTAGGTGGGCTCATTGATTTCATGGAACAGGAAAAGACAGCCAGTATTTCTCCTGGGAAAGCTTTTGCTCATCTTTATTGCAAGTGCTTTCAAAACAGACTGAGTTTTATGCCCCTTTCCTCATTGCAAGCTAGTGTGAGCTCCATTAAAGCTGTCCATTAGCTTTCTGGAACAGAGTGTGGTTGGACCTTGCTTTCCCTTGGCAAGCATTCTTGAGTGTGATTTCCCTGAAATGCATGCTTCCTGTTCTGCTAGCCATGACTTTCTGAAGTCTTGAAATATAGTTATCAGCAAAATTAGGACAGGCAAAGAGCAGACAGCTATGTCTTCTTAGCTCCCACAGAGGCAAACTTGCCCATAGCAGGGCCTTGCTGCATGGTGGCAGAATCTAACAAAGAACTTCTTAATCACTGACTATGTGTCTGCCATTGTGGTAGGTATGGTGTGATGGGAGAAAGGAAACAAATATATAAGCTCATTCGCCTATGACATCATCAATTTCATTAGTAATTTTCCTTCTCACAGCAGTCCTGAGAGAACAGGCTCAAAATGACAAATGACTCGCCCCATGTAAAACAGCCAGTAGGTGGCAGAGCCAGGGTTTAAATTCAGATTTCCTTGGGGGAGAAGAAGGTGGGGGAAATAGTGGGAGAGAGGGATGGAGGCAAACCATGAGAGACTCTTGAATGCTGAGAACAAACTGAGGACTGATGGGGGTCGGGGGGAGGAGAGAGGGGTGATGGGCATGGAGGAGGGCACTTGTGGGGATGAGCACTAGGTGTTATATGGAAACCAACTTGACAATAAACTATTAAAATATAGTAAATACATAAATATATAAAAATAAATTCAGATCTCCTTGACTCCAGGGACTTTGTGCTAAATCAAAAGGAAGATCTTTTTGATGACTTTGTAGAAACTTTCAGTCTTGGTGAGGAAGTAAGACTGAAACACAAGAAACAATTGAGGACCGTTCCAGAGAATAGACCCATGTGTCCTCAATTATGTCAGCCCTGAGCTTTTCTAGAGCTCAGAGCTCGTGCTGAAGGAGGTCCCTGGAGGAGGCATGCTGTAAGCCAAGGGGTGAGGATGGATAGCAGGAGTGGGCAGGATGAGGAAGGCCAGACCCAGTGGATCACCCGAGCCCATAGAAAGATAACAGATGTTTACTGATTTTTGCCTATACCCAAGATCTTAAAAGATATTTTCCTACATTTCCTCTGGAAGCTTTATAGTTTTAGCATTTACAGGTAGGTCTCTGATCATCCTGAACTTTTTTCTGTATATGATCTGAGGTAGGAGCCAAGGATTAATTTTTTTTCTGTTTTTCAGGTTTCTCCAACACTGTTGAAAAGACTTTTCATTCCTCTATTGAATTAACTTGGCACCTTTGTTAAAAATCAGTTTGTATCTATTTCTGGACTTTCTCTTCTGTTCCATTTATTTATTCACTTATCCGTATGCCATTACCATATGGTCTTGATTATTGTATCTTTATAGCAAGTTTTGAAATCAGCTCTTCAACTTTATTTTTCCTGGGATTTTTTTTTTTTTTTTTTTTTTTTGGTATAGGTTTTTTTTTTTTTTTTTTTTTTTTTGGTATAGGATTGCACTGAATCTATATAGATCAGTTTAGAAGACATTGGACATCTCAAACATTGAAACTTCCAATAAGTGAACAAGAACTTCTCTATATAGCTTTTAAGTTTTCTCAGTATTTTGTGACTTTGCATAGGAGTTTTATACGTATATTGTTAAATGTAAATGCCTTTTTTAATGCTATTATGAATAGAATTACGAAATACAACTGATACCTTGTGTTTTGTGACCTTTCTAGATTCACTTACTGATTGAGTCTGTTGTGAGATCAAGCCCCATGTCAGCTCTGTGTGGGGCATGGAGCCTGCTTAAGATTCTCTCTCCCTCTTTTTCCTTCTTCCCCTCCCTTCTTCTTCTCTCTCTCTAAAAAATAAATAAAAGCCAGATACAACAGAATACATACTCTTTGATCCCATTATATAAAGTTTTGTGTTATTGCACTAACTAGCATCTCCAGTAAAGTATTGAGCAGAGGTAATGAGAAGATACATACATGTTTGTCTTTTTTCACCATCTTGGGAAAATAAAAACAGTTTTTCACCATGAGTATTTTTATAGATGCCCTTTATTAGATTAACAGTGTTCCCCTTTTGTTTATTGAGAGTTTTTATTATGAATGGTGGTTAATTTTGCCAGATGCTTTTTCTGTATTTATTGAGATGATTATATGGTTTTCCTGATTTCTCAAATTAATCTGTATTCGTGAGATAAACCCTGTTGGTCATGATATATTATGACCACATGCTGTTGATTTTTAAAATATATTTTTAAAGTTTTTATTAATTTTGAGAGAGAGAGTAAGGTGGGGGGCAGAGAGAGAGAGAATCCCAAGCAGGCTCTGCACACAGGGCTCGAACTCACAAACCATGAGATCATGCTGAAATCAAGTGTCAGATGCTTAACTGACTGAGTCACCCAGGTGACTCTCACATGCTGTTGATTTTGATGTTAATATTTTATTTAAAAATTTTATATGTACTTTCATGAGAGATAATGGTCTGTAGTTTTCTTGTAATGTTTGTCTTTCTTATTTCTTTCAATTTTTTATGGAATTTAAGAGTGAAATTATCTGGATCTAGAGTTTCCTTTATGGAAAGGTTTTTGATTACAGATTTAATTTTGAAAATAGCTACGAAGAGTTTCTTTTCATGTTAGTTTTTTGTTTTGTTTTGTTTTGTTTTTTGTTTTTAATGTTTTATTTTTGAGAGAGAGAGAGAGGCAGCGTGAGCAGGGGAGGGTCAGGGAGAGAGGGAGACACAGACTCCAAAGCAGGCTCCAGGCTCTGAGCTAGCTGTCAGCGCAGAGGTAACAGCCTGATGTGGGGCTCAAACCCACGAACTGTGAGATCATGACCTGAGCCGAAGTCGGATGCTCAACCAACTGAGCCACCCAGGCGCCCCATCTTTTCATGTTAGTTTTGACAAGCTCTGTTTTTCAAGGAATTTTTCATTCTATCCAAGGGATCAAATATATTGACAGAAAGCTGTTCATAAAAGTGTCTTATTACTCTTTAAATGTCTATAGAATTTATGATGATGCTACCTTGTTCATTCCTGATTTTGGTAATTTGTGTTTTTTCTCTTTTTTCTTGATTAGCCTTACTAGGTAGGAATGATCCAATTGTGTGTGTTTTTTAATTTTTGCTTTACTAATTTTCTTATTGTATATTTTTCTTACGTTGATTCCAGCTCTTTATTTTGCTTCTCTTTCTACTCCAGATTTAATTAACTCTCTTATTTGTTTTTTCTTAATCTTCTTAAAATGGAATCATAAATCACCCTTTTTTTAAAAAGTTTATTTTTGGCAATCTCTACACTAGTGTAGGGGCTCGAACTTATAGCCCCAAGATCAAGAGTCACATGCTCCTTTGAGCCAGCCAGGCACTCCCACCTTTTCTTTTTGTTGTTGCTGTTCAATTATCCATTTTAAATCTTTCTTTTGTGACATAAGCGTTTTAAGCTATAAGGTTACCCTGTGCTTTAGTTTTATCCTAAAAATCTGATGTGCTGTATTTTTATTATCTTTCAATTGAAAATACATTCTAATTTCCTCTGTGATTTCTTCCTTAACCTATGGTTTATTTAGAAATAATGTAAAGGAAGAAAAGAAAGATGTTTAATTGTTCAAATAGGAGTTTTCTTGATATATTATTGTGTGTTTTTGTTTTTAAGTTTATTTATTTTTGAGTGAGAGAGAGCGCACAAGTGGGAGAAGGGCAGAGAAAGGGAGATACAGAATCCAAAGCAGACTCAGAGCCCGATGTGGGACTTGAACCCACAAACCCCAAGATCATGACCTGAGCTGAAGTTGGACGCTTAACTGACTAACCCACCCAGGCGCCCCGATGTGTATTATTGTTTTTAATTACTAATTTGATTCCACGGTGGTAGAGAACATACCTTGTATAACTTCAGTTTTTGAAGTATATTGACACATTTTGTGGTTGTATATATGATATATGTGGTCTCTTTTGGTGAGCTTTTATTTTTTCCCATGTTCACATTAAAAATTTTTTGTTTAACCCAAGCTGTCAGCACAGAGCCTGACATGGGGCTCGAACTCACAAACTGAGATTATGACCTGAGCTGAAGTCTGACGGTCAACCAACTGAGCCACCCAGTCACCCTATCCCATGTGCACTTTAAAAGAATGTTATACTACAGTTGTTGCATGTAGTGTTCAATAGATGTATTTTAGGATGATTTGGTTGGTAGTCATCTTCAAATTTTTATATCCTTACAGATTTTTTGTCTGCTTGTTCTCTCAATTACTAGAGAGGATTGTTAAAATCTCTGGCTAGGGGACTCCTTGGTGGCTCAATTGGTTAAGCATCTGACTCTTGATTTCAGGTCATGATCTCAGTGGATGTCAGATCAACCCCTGTGTCAGGCTTTGTGCTGGGCATGGAGCCTCCTTGAGATTCTCTTTCTCCCTCTCCCATTTGCATGAGCACACACACTCTTTCTCTTAAAAAAAAAATCTCTAGCTATGATTATGGATTTGTCTATTTCTCCTGGTAATACTATCAGTTTTGCTTCATGTTTTTGGAAGCTCTGTTATTGTTCCATATACAGTTAGAATTGTTATGTTTTCTTCATAAATTGCCCTTGTATTATTTTTAAATGAACCTCCTTATTTTTGGTACTATTTCTTTTCTCAACATCTACTTTGACTTAAAATATTCTCACCAAATTTTTTTATATTTACAATTTACATGGTTTACCGTTCCCACTCGTACTTTCAGTTTATCTGTTTGTCTTCATTTTTAACAAAGCATGTC